ATATATATATATATATATATATATATATATATATTCTTAGTGGTTCTTAGTTGTTCGTTTTTTGCCAACACACTGTATTTGCACCAGTTTCAGACAGTAACAGTAGCTTGAGAAATTGATCGAAATTTTACAGTTAAATCTCACATAAAGTTTTTAAGTGCAAGCTTACTAAACTAAGCTTTACGTCTTTAGGTAATGAATCATTTGTTGGAATTTACGCAAAAAATTGTCCAGAGTGGTTTTTGACAGCGTTTGGGTGCATTCAACAGTCAATAGTTATTGTACCTCTGTATGATACATTAGATGCTAACGCAGCTTCCTATATTGTTAATCAAACTCAGATGCAGTACGTTATTCAGATTTGAACATTATATGTTTTTTACTACTGACCAGAATTGTTAAAATTTTCAAAAACAAAAAATTGAAAAGCAGTTTACAAGAAAAAAGAAAGACAAAAAAATCGCTTACTACCTACATCAACTGCAATTCAATTTATCACATTTCCCTAAAACAGCGTGTATCTGGTTTTCTTTCATATCAATAAAATATATTTGTTATAGAGTAGTTGTAGTTGATAGCACAGATAAAATTGGAAAATTATTGACAAACAAAATATGTCCTTCATTACGGCATATAATTGTTATTCCAAAAAGTGATCTCAAAGAATTTGCTGCAATTGATCCAGATGTTCAGGTTTCAAAATTTTTAATATTTAATTATTTATTTATTTTTTTTTTTGCTTTGTACTTTTTTACTTTCAATTCACTGTATACCTAGACTGCATGTCACTAACAACTGGAATTGTTTTGCAGTTACACTTATTTGATGATCTGCTAATAGATGATCACGAGCTCCTTCCAATGGCACCGCCAAAAGCTGATGATCGTTATATCATCTGGTTTGTGTAGCAACAATAATTTGTTTCGATATTTTTTTTTTTGCTCACTTTTCTGAAATTCTAAAGTCTACTACAGCTTCCAATATAGCCATGGACAAAAGACAAAACGTTACTCAGACACTAAAAAATTTGTTGCTTAAAAGAAATTGTTTGAAAAAATTAGGATAATTGTTATTTAGTTATACGAGTGGTACGACAGGCCCACCAAAAGGTGTCATTTTGACTCACCGAAATTTGGTTTCATCAGTTTCGTCCTTCTATATTCTAGTTGACAAATGTGCACCTAGAATGTTTAACATGCGTAAGGTATCTCATTTATCAGTTTACTCCCAACAACCACAAAGAAGTTTCAGTAAAAATTTACTGTCTATTTTTTCATATAATTTAGTTAAGAAACTTTTTTCAAGGTTCTTCTGTCGTTTCTTCCATTATCGCATATGATGGAACAGCTTGATCACTGGTGCACAATACTAATGGGGGGCGCTGTGGGTTATTACAGTGGAACAATTCAGGGCTTGATGAATGATGCTGCAGCGTTAAAGCCAACTATATTTCCAGTTGTACCACGGCTTTTAAATCGACTTTACGATACGATACAAGTCAGTCAAAAAAAAATAAATAAATAATACAAAAGTTTTTTTCATGGCTTTCTTTTCTAAAAATAGAATTTTTCAAAGTTTCCGTGTGTTATCAAAATGTGCTCTTCAGGCTAACGTACAAAAATCAGGATGGTTTAAAAGAGCCATATTCAACTTTGCATACAACAGAAAATTAGCGTTACTAAAAAAAGGCATTTTTTGTAATGATACAATATGGGATCGTTTGGTGTTCTCGAAAATACAGGTAGTTTTTTTTACTGCAAATAATTCGTCACAAATGTTACTGCTGCAATAAATTTTTGACCCGGTAAAATTAATAAATTTAGTCAAAACTGGGTGGTTGTGTTCAAATGATGGCCACCGGTTCAGCTCCGGTAAGCAAGGAAGTCCTTGAAACTTGTCGAATTGTCTTGGGCGCAGCTATTCTTGAAGGTATTTATTAGTCTTGTAGCATATTTACTAGTAAATTAAACGAACCAAAAAGAACTGCGTCAATACTACGAAAATAGTATGAACTGTTTATTGTCTATTTTCCGGTTTTAATGTTGAACATCATCTGTGTTCAAGAGATGTAAAAAATGTTACCGCTTCTTTACACTCTTTAGATGTGTCCCTTTGGTTTTTTAGCACTCAGAAGCGTCCCACTGAAAACGATACAATAATACGTGGCCAATGCAAAAATAAAAAAAAAAAAAAAAAAAACAATTCAAATAACGGCTTTATAAAATCAGTAAATTTAATACTTAGGTGCCGACAACCTTGCATCTAACTGTAGTGTAGCTTATTTGGCAGATAGTTTGTGATAGATAAGAAATTTGCTTCGTCAATAAAACGTCCGAACCGCATCCCTCGTTTTGTTCCTGCGGAAAATTTTAAAATGGCATTCCTTATACTTCCCCACACATTGCTGTACTATAATTGCCGTACTATAATTCACACTTCAATTTAACAAGACTTTATAATTTCCCTCCCAAGCTCTTTGTGCTCTAAATGTGACAAATAAAAAGTTGCTTTTTAAAAAAACGAAGCAAAGTGCATGAAAAAAACTGGGTAAACGATACGAGACCAGTAAACTAAATTGATTATGTACTTTGTTATTCACTTGACATTAAAGCAATTGGGACTTTGACCTGTCCGAAAAGTATATTTTTTACAGCTTATGGCCAAACTGAATGCACAGCTATTGCAACTATAACATGGCTAACGGACAACACTGCTGGACACTGTGGTGGTCCCGCAACTTGTACTGTCTTAAAGCTGGCCGATGTACCCGAAATGAACTATTATGCATCTGAGGGCAAAGGTGAAATTGTAGTTAAAGGGCCCAACAATACTCAAGGTTATTTCAAAGTAAGTAAACAGAAATCTTTATGTATCATCAAAAATTTATTACCACAAAAAATTATATACATAAAAGAGACTCAATTTTGAACAAATGCATGAATGTTCTATTAAAATTTTGCATGTACAAAGGAAACTTTGACACATTTCTAGGACCCAGAAAAAACAGCTGAGTTATTTGATAAAGATGGGTATCTACATACCGGTGATGTTGGACAATTACTGCCCGGTGGAAGGTTGAAAATTATTGATCGAAAAAAACATATTTTCAAATTAGCTCAGGTATCTTTTATATTAATTTTTGAACAAACTCTTTGGCAA